AGCGGTTAGTTGGAAAACTCCTCTATCTTTGTCTCACACGACCGGACATCAGTTATGCGGTCAGCGTTGTCAATCAGTATATGCACTCTCTTAGGACTATTCACTTACTTGCAGTTGAGAGGATATTAGCATATTTGAAGAGGTGCCCAAGTAGAGGTATACTATTCAACAATAATAATCACATGAAGATAGAGGTTTATAAGGATGCTAATTGGGCTAGGAGTATTGATGATAGAAGGTCTACCTCTGGATATTGTGCTTTTGTAGGAGGTAACTTGGCCTCCTGGAGGAATAAGAAGCAAAGTGTTGTTTCTCATTCTAGTGCAGAAGCTGAATACAAGTCCTTGGCTAATGGTGTGGCTGAAATCCTATGATTGAAATCACTATTTGAGGAGTTGGGTATTGCTTATGAGAAGCCCTTAATGTTGTATTGTGATAATCAGGTTGCTATTAATACAGCTCATAATCCAGTACAGCATAACAGAACTAAGCATATTGAAGTAGACCGACATTTTGTCAGAGAAAGGGTTTCATCTCAAAAAGTGTGTCTTCCGTATATCACCTCCAGCATGCAGCTTGCAGATCTTCTCACCAAGGCTATTCCAAGGAAGAAGTTAGAGGCAGATCTATGCAAGTTGGGAATGACAAATATCTATTTCCAACTTGAGGGGGAGTGTAAAGAACACTGATGTGGTCCCCACAGTGTTCGTATGGCAGCAATATTTCTGTTAGATATGACAGTGTTAGTTGGTAGTTATTTCAGTTAGTTATTTCAGCTTTATTATTAGTTATTTATTATTCTATTTGCCATGTAAGCAATAAGGGCAATTCAGCCCTATTACAGTTAGCCAATAGTTATAAATACTAAGAGAGGGTCGGCAAAAATTATGACCTACTCTCTCTCTTTTCTGAAACTCTTTTCGTGTACTTCTTATCTTCCTCTCTTCTCTTCTTCTTTTCTTCAATTTTTCATCATTTTTTCTTTTTAATTCAAGACTGATTGTAGTCTAGATCGACTACTGATTTGAAAAAGGCATATGATTTGGTGGATTGGCCCTTTTTGCAGCAAGTGACGGAGAGTTTTGGTTTTGGGGGAAAATGGTGTAAATGGATAAAGGGTTGTATTGAGACTTGTCTTTACTCCATCTTGGTGGATGGGATAGTAGTAGATCATATTCCTATAGTTAGAGAGATTAGGCAAGGGGACCCCCCCCCACACTCTTCCTTCCTATTCATCTTAATTGCTTAAGTTTTGGGCATGCTAATAACTAGGGCAAATTCTAGGAACTTGGTCAGTGGTTGGAGGATTAGTAGGAATAGGGTACCAACACTCATTTGCGGTTTGTTGACGATATTATACCTTTTGTGAGGGTGATGATGTTAGGTGGGTTAGGAACTTAAAGTTGGTGATTCAATTATTTGAGAAGATGTGCGAGTGAATCTTGAAAAGAGTTGTGTAATGGGGGTTAATATGAATGTGGGAGGTAGAAGAGAGGATGGATATATTGGGATGTATGATCTCTCACTAGCCTTTGAATTACATGGGATGCCTCTTGGGATAATCCAAGAAATGATAGTTTTTGGAACCCAATGGTTGATAGACATCTTGGAAGGAAAAACATTTTTCTCTGGGTGGTAGGATCACACCGATAAAGTCTACATTAACCAACCTACCTATGTACTTCTTATCTGTCTTTAGGGTTCTAGGAGTGAGTAGGAGGCTAGAAAAGTTGACGAGAGATTTTCGGTGGGAACCAAGGAAGAAAAAAGAGACCATAGAGTAGGCTAGGAGGTGCTCACTAGAGTCTAGAAGTAAGAATGTGGGTGGATTAGGCAATAGGAAGTAATCAAAAGAGAAATGAGGCACTATTGGAAAAATGTTTGTCGAGAATGTCTTTGGATAAGTTGTCGGTTAAGGTGATTTTAAGTATTCATAGGCAAATCGCTAATGGTTGGGATGTGGGAGTTTTGGCAAGGGCTACACAATCTTCTCCTTGGAAATCAATACATGTTATCCTTACTTCTTTACTGCCTTATATCAGGTACGACCTCTGCTCTGGAAACCAAGTATAACTTTGGGAGCATAATTGGAGGGGAGGAGGCATGTTTGAAAGAACAATTTCCTTCATTGTACTCCTTCTCTTTGCTTAAGAATGAGCATGTGTCTACTTTTTTGGTCCCTTCAAATTCAAGGTTTGGGTTTGATTGGGACTCACATCTTAGACAAGGTATTAGGGACTCTAAAATCAATAATGTCTTAACCTTAATTCAAATCTTGGAAGGGGTGGTATTGGATACAGGGAGGAGGGATAGACAGATTTGGACCTTGACTTCCTCTAGTGTGTTTTCCTGTGCCTCTTTTTTCAGAGCTCTAGTGCAGCCCTTTGATAGTCTTGGGCAAGCCTTTCCAGTCTTGGAAGTCAAGGGTAAACCAATCCCTCCTAGAATTTGTGCTTTTTGTTGGGAAGTTTTTTTGGGAAGGTGCAACACTTGTGATTTGCTTCAAAGAAAAAGACCTAATTGGTGCTCATCCCCAAATTCATGTATGGTTAATGGTGAGAATTTCTATCACTTATTAATCTCATGCCCTTTTGTTTCAGTTATTTGGGTTTGGCTTTTCTCTTTGTTTGGTTGTAGGTGGACTTGCTAGATGTACAAAGCTTGTTTGCTTCTTCCTTTATCAAGAGGCCAAAGAAGAGGGGTAGAATTTTATGGAGATGTGTACGAGCTGCCATTTGTTGGACAATTTGGAAAGAAAGGAACTCAAGGATTTGTAATGAAAAGGAAAGGAATAGCCGAATAGGGATGACATCATTGAAGTAGTAACTGTTAGAGTGTTGCATTGGGTGAAATCTCAGGAATTGTTTGTGCATAAAGACATGCTGATTAGGAGGAATTGGAAGGAAGTAGCAATTCAGCTCCTCTCAAAACCAAGATCAGTCTTCTTTGGTCTCCACCAGCTTCGAGATATATTAAATTAAACTTCAATGGAAGCAGTGAAGGTATGACGAGGCCTTCTAGTATTGGAGGAGCTTTTAGAGACAAGAATGGGATAGTTATGGCTTTATTTTCTGGTCCTATTGGTCTAGGTGATTCACTAGTGGAGGTTTTCACAGTAATGGAAGGATTAAAGAAGCCTAAGAAACTGAATATTCGTAAGCTTATTATTGGAGACTCAAAATTGGTTATAGATTGGCTGCAAAAGGAGGAGATGGGAGTATAGAAGTTTGCTAATGAAAAAAGATTGTCTAATTGGTTGGCTCAAGGTTTGGAGATTAAGTTACAGTGGGTAAAGAGAAGTGCCAACTGCATTGTGGATGCTCTTGCTAAACAAGGGGTGGGAAAGGAGCAGTTGTTTTGGGCTGTATTGTAAATTGAGCTTTTGTTTTCTGCTAGGGAAGGGTTAAGAGAGTTTGCCCCTCCCCTGGTTTTCTCTTGTATTTTTATTCTATTAACAAAAAGCTTCTGTTATTGATCATATAATATATAACATATCACATTGTATTCATTTTGTATCACTCATTCTTGTTACCCAGCCATCTCGTCATCCACAACTCCATCATACATTTTACTAAGGTAGTTTTACTTATCATGCAGCCTTTTCATATGCAAAGTTTAGCTAGTATTTTTAACAATTCTGTAAAATTTCCACTTCAGATTCAAGAGTGCACAATAGCAGAACAATCCCTGAAGCATATCTCCACTTTATTCACTCCATTCTAATTGTTTTGACAATATCCTCTTAATTACAGATACACGGAGTCACGGACAACATCCTCTTTGCTCATGTATTTGAGCACTTCATTAGCAATCAAATTTGATTAATCCTATTTTAGTAAAATAGCATGACATGTTCCCAGATATTTCTTACTTCTACTTATCCTTCCCGCAATGTGGATCCTTAATGTGGGTCCATTATGGCACTAGTTATGTCAATAAATCCACTTGAAATTACTTTGTCCCTTGAAAATAGTTAAATTTACTCTCCCAAGAAAATTGTTTTCTCTAACTATGGACCTTTAATTTGAGACCATTCTCCAATCAATTATGTCCCACTTGAGACTCTGTTGCCCTATAAAACCATTCAAATTTAATCTCTCTTGAAGTACATTGTTTTCTCTAAGTCAATAAGACCATATGAAGGTTTATCTTCTGCTTGCTACTCAATCCACTTTTCTAAATTTTAAGTAATAAAAGTTAACATAAAATAATTGAGCTCCCTAGAAATAAAGTCAGGGTGATTATAAAACATTTGTATGCCAAAATTCAAATAGTTTCTAAACAATTCTCTTGTAAGGTTCCATTTTTTATTCCCTTGATATTTTACTGCTGCTTCCAGATTAATAAAATTGATGTCGATTTCACTGCAAACAGATTCTTATAGGATGACAAGTGGTGATTCATGTCAAGCTTCTAAAATCAAAGATTTCAATGCTGTCATGTGGTAAGTGGTAACTCACTCATCGTTTTTTTTTTTTGTTTCTTTTTTTTTCGCAATTTGCTTATAGTTCATCATTCTCTCTTCTACCAACCTTTTAAAAGGATGGTCAACACAGATATTTCAATACTTTGTGTTGATGCAACACATCAGGCAACAAAAACAGCAGCCAACTGGTAACCAAAGAAATCCCTGCCACTGTGAAATCCTTTAAACATTGTCCTCTTACATTCATAGAAGAACAATCCACCCCCCTCCCCCCCCCAAAAAAAAAAAAAAATCTCACACGGCAAGCAGAATATGCCAATGCATCAAGTTGATATATTCTGGAAGAAGAATTATTAAGTCTCATGTGCTTAAAAAGAAGCCCATAGAGTTGAACAACCAATCTTTAATCCACCACTCAAACTGAAACTCTGAAAGGCTATTTGAAAGGAAGAAAAGAAAATTATTTTATAGAGTTTGTTCTCTTTATTCATGTTTATTTTTTGATATTGTATATTGATTCCTTTTTATTACCCATGGCAAACTGGAACGAAAAAAAAAAATCATAAATTTGAGATATCGAGAACTCCATGCATCCATTCAATGTTGGATCATGGAAGTGGAAGGGATACTTTCATTTGAAAAAAGAAAGAATGGCTGTAGACAAGGGCCACTTAAGATGGGAACATACATTCACATACCTCAAAAACTTGTTGAGGTGAGACCATGAGGAATTCCCCATCAGCAATCCCACAAATAACAATACCACAACATGACAACAACAAGATGACCTCTGACCTTGACAACCCACCACTGCCGCCAGTGCTGCCAATTTCTTTAATAAGTGTACAAATTCCCATCAAGCAAGCCAGTCAACAAACAAAGTTACTGAGCAAACTCCTGTTGGTTTTCCATAGATTCTTTTAGAATTTTCTCGGCTCTCCTTTTCTTGTCATCCTTCTCTTCATCCTTCCCGAACCAAGAAGCTGTTTTCCCAGCACTCTTGCTGTGAAGACTCAAATCCACGGGTGCACCTAAAGCCTTCTTGCCAATCCCAAATTTGAAGTGTACAGTAGGCCTCTTGTTGGGAAGGACCTTTTTCCCAGCATCTACAGACTCACAAACTCCACTCTTCACTGCTTCAATAGCTGGAGCAAAAGCCTCCAACACTGAAACCTGATTTTCCACGGCCATATTTTTTGCTAGCTTTGCTGGACAAACAACAGGAGACACATCTTTCTCGCCTTGTTGCAGGGGTGAAGCAAGAAATGGATTACTTTCTGCCGCTCGTTTCAGTTTCCCAGCATCTGCAGGGTCCACCTGAGCAGGTGCTACTGAACCATTGCAAGCCAACCGCTGCTGCAAATTCAACAAAGACCGTTCTGCCTTCCTCCGCTGCCTTGCCTGTTCAACTTTGTCAGTGCGAGGATCTGTTGCCCTTTCATTCCATACGGGGGTCTGAATATAGGTATGAGGATCGGGGAATGCAGGCAACCAAGGGGGGATATGATTTCCAGGTGGGGTTTCTCCAATTTGCAGAAAACTTGGTGTTGGCTTCCTGTTCCTGGTGACAGGGAAACGGGGAACAGGACGAGCAAACGGAATCTCCTGTTCCAAGCTCACGTATTGCGATATCTCTCGAACTGTACCAGAACTTGCAAGGCAACGGTTAACATCTGACGCACCAGAGAATCCCTGCGAAGATCCTAAATCTTCCAACCCTTGAATAACATCGAAAACGTTACAATGAGTTCTACCAGCTAAGTTAGCATAGAAATGCGCGGTCTTTCCCAAATCTCGGAGGTATCGTATCGCGACGTCTGAGAGAGACTCAAGCGCGGACTGCTGGAAGCTCTGAAACCCGACGTTCTCACATATCTGAGCGACAGCAATCTTGGCAATAGCTCGGCCGAAATCATCTCCTCCTCTTCCTCCCGATTTCCTCCTCGCGTCCTGTTCGTTGTCTCTTCCACTCTCCCCACCTCCATCGCTCATATTCAAAACCTCATATCATTTCACCGGAGATAGAGTTCCAAGAAGCACCATTTCTTTCTCAGTATTTCACCCCGAAAAGCATTCCTCGTCCCACAAGTCCTCGTTTCCAACTAGGATTTCCGACAGAAATACTTCTCTCACCCGATAAACCACCGAGATTCAAGAAAACCCTAGACCGATATTGCATTTCAAATGCAAATCCAACAAAGAACGGACAAGGAAGACAAAAAAGATGAAGCCCTTATGCCATCTACGCCTTACCGGTGGTTCCTAGGGTTTTGAATCCAATTCGTCATTGGAGGACCAGGCGGACCAGAGATGGATCTCATACAACAATAATAATAAATGGGAGATCCCGAAGTCGTCGTCGCGTCGATAAACCCTAATCAGGAATTCACAGGCTCTAATTATTATCAAGGGCGATAAATCAATGATTAATCTGGCGATAAATCAATATTAATCTGGCGAGAAACAAGGGTTTTGTATTACTAATGGCTTTAAACCCTTGTAAAACCCTAACGACGGCAGGCAAGGACAAAGAAAAGGAAAAAAATATGAGAGGGAGAAGAGTGGGACAGATGCGAGATGGAAAAAGAAAATAGATGAAGATCGGAGAATGAGATCGACAGGGTGCTGTATTTATAGACCGCAAACTGATGTGTACTAACCCGGTGAGCGGAGATTATTCAAACACAATGATAGGGCAATTTCGAGATTTCACACCTTTCAGGCATCTCTTTCGTAATACCGGTAAACATTACATGTATGATGGCCCATCGTAATCTAATGGTCCATTCTCTAGATACGTAATCCTGACGGCCCATTATATGGACCAGTTAATAGCTGCATTTCTGCAAGTCACGGGGATCTATCGTGTCATGAAATTTGTGATGCATGGTAAACTTCCTCCTAGGTCTACAAGTACTTTGCGAAATTTCAAATGATCAAATCTCTCTCGCTCTCTCTCTCCCTCGCTCTCTCGCTCTCTACATCTAGATGAGGTCAGGCAATGAATGCATATGAACGTTCAACTAGTGCGACCTCTCGAGGGTTTACACGTGTACGACAAGGAGAGAGATTTTTGTGTAAACCATCAATCATTTTCCGTTGTGGCTTTCCTTTTTTTCATAAAATAATAAAATGGATCACATGCAAATCCCGCTAATCAAATTCATGAATAAAAGATTTTTTGGTTCATGTGGCTGGGCTACACAACGGAGAGTACACATCTTTTGTCTCTTTGGCCAATCAATAGATATGCAAAAAAAAATAATTATAGCTAATAAAGGCAATTTTTGAGCCTAATATTAATAAAAATAAGTTTTCCAAAATAGGTTTAATTTTTTTAAAACATATCAAATAATGGTAAAAACATTGTCATACTCCTCTAAATCATTTAATAAATCTTTGTCAAGATTAATAAATATTTTTTCCATCTTGGTTCCTCCCCAACCCCACAAATTTCAATGACCACCATCCACCAATGTTGTTGCTGCCGCCTTCGCCCACTTCCAGCAATGCCAATCTGACGATATATCTCTACTAGACCAACTAGTGATGGGATTGGGATGAATATGTTCGAGTGGAAAAAAATAAGTAGAGGCTTTATGATGACAACGAGGAGATCGTAGTTGTCATCGATGTTGTTGGTTTCATTTGGGTGTAGCTCATTGGTGATGGAGTTGGCAAGTAGTATGGATGAGAGCGAGTTGCAAAGGCCATCTGGGTTTTGTTTGCTACTTTATGCTTGGAGGAATTAAATTAAAGATCGATTGGTGCATCCTCAGAACATGGTTTTGTTTGCAAAGGCCATCTGGGATATGGATATTCAGTATTTCTTTTTATAGGGGTGGACAAAAAAAATAGAGATTTATGCTTCAGTGAGATTTATTTAGTAGTTTGGATGATCAAGAATGTGATTTTTTTTTTTGCCTTTTTGATATATTTTTTAAAACATTAACCTATTTTAAAAAGTCTAAATATACTCTTCACAGAGGGCACCTCACAATACATCTTCACTGCACATCAAGAACATCTTCTGTATTTATATTTATTATTTATAAGGAGATGTTCCCAATACATGGTGGGTTGTGAATGTAAGGTAGGTGTGAGATGCGCCTTATAGGGAGTAGGTCCCGTCTCTAGAAAAAATCAACATTTCTATTTTAAAAAATAGGCTGATGTGATAGATTATTATTGGTGTAGTACAAAAAGTTTTCTATACCAAAGGGACATACAATGTGAATTCCGCATGAGGTAAAAAGCATTATCTAAGCTCTAACGTTAACACTGCCAAAATTTGTAGAGCATTTGGTAGTTAGTAGTTGGTAGATGAACCATATTTTATCGGTTAAGACTATAATCACCACTTACAAATAATTGCTGGTTTTGGTAACTTAATCATTTTAAGATTAACCATTGAGTATATGATGTATGAACCACATAGGAATGGGCTTGGGCAAGGTTAGGTTTAAGTTAGAGTTCGAGTTTGATTCAAATTATATTTTCCACTTCAATTTCATTTCGATTAAATATCCAATGAGCTTGAATTTGTCTCGAAATCTAAAAAATAAATATTATTTATATTTTATATTTATATATATGATATTTTTATAATATATAGTATATTCGTATATTATATATAAAATACAATAAATATATTTTTATAATATATATTATAAAATATATGTTTATATTCTATAATATATTCATAAGTATGTATGTATGTGTTAATTGAGCCAATCTCACAAGTTTTAGAGCTGAACTTTTATTAGCCAATTGAACCTGAGCTCAAATAACTAATTGAGCTTACCATGAGATTCAAATTCGATTCGAGTTTGATTAGAATTGAATTCGAATCAAGTATAATGGAGCATGAACCTGAACTATTCAATTAGAATCAAACTCAAATCAAGCCTAATTGAATTCAAACCTAAACTATTCAATTAGACTGAAGCCTTAGTCTCGCAATTGATTTTCTTCTTTAAATGTATAGATTTCAGGATTAATAGCCACTATGTCTCAAGAAAAATAGACAATTTTCTTCTACCAATATCAACAATCTAAATGAACTCCACCGGAGACACCATGGCTTCTCCAGTGTTCCCAGTGATTATGTGCCCTCCCCCCGTTTTAACGATATTGATAACCCTATTGCATATCTCCCCTCAAATTATGATCCCATCACTACCACTGCAAAATGCATAGTGTGTTTGAGTATCTTAGATGAAGAAGAGAGAGTCAGACTTCTACCCAATTGTAAGAATTTGTTCATTATACCATGCATTGATATCTGGTTAGACTTACACACTACAATGCATTGAACCTCAACCTAAGCCTAAGCCTTGTGAATCAAGTATTATTGCCGTCCAGCATTTGGCCTTGACATATAGACTCATTGCATCCTGCAACATGTTCATAGGGGTACTTCAGATGGTGCTGCTCAGTTTTCTTCCAAAGTGGGTGGATTGAACTCCCGGATGAGATCATTTTGGAGGATGCTTAGTGTGGAGAGATCAGCAAGGAAAGTTCAACTTTGTGATCAAGCAAATGTTCTGGAAGATGTAGAGAGGCAATGGTTTCGAGTAATATTATTTCAGCAAGGAAAATTCAACTCTGTGATCAAGCAAATGCTGTGGAAGATGTAGAGAGGCAATGGTTTAGAGTAATATTATTTCTTGTCTTTTTTGGGTTTTGAATCGGAATTGGAATTGGAATGAGCTATTCCGGTTCCAACTGTTTGGTTGGGTGGAATCGGAATCCTATTCCTATTCCCATTCCTGCTGGAATGGCAATTCCCCATTTGAGGGAATGACCATTCCCTGTCCCTCCCTTGGGAATGAAATCTAATTCCTGCTGATTCCCATTTTCATTCCTATTCATGTCTGAACCAAACAGACTATGGGAATGGACCATATTCCGATTCCAACTGCAAACCAAACAGACCCTTAGATTGCATAGATGGTTCTCTCCTGGCAACAATAGAACTTGGAAATCTGCTTATAATTTTTGTTCCATGTGATGTGGTTTTTCAGGTAATACAAAGAACTGTGCTTGAGAGGGACTACAACTACAAGTTGACACTTGAAATCAAAACACCATCAAAGACCAAAAGTTGGCGTCAATTAAAGTAACCCAGTTGGTTACTTTCCTTTTTTTGGTAGAAAGAAACATTAATTAAGAAAAGAAGTCTAAAACATCCAAAAAGAAACAGAGGTCAATACCTGTTTGTTTCTTCATATCCATATGGTATTGTTTAAGTTATTTTAAAATATTAATTAAAGATATGTTTCTTTTGACTTCATATCCATTAATATTACTAAAGTTATATGTAAGGGGCTATGTATCCAATCACAAGTGAACACTCCAATGTTCTAAAAATATGGGACGTAGCATATTACATATAGCCGTGCGAGCAATAGATCCTGCGTTATGGCTCTAGGCATTTCAAGGTGAGCCCCCACATAAACAACCTTATAAGTTATATTAACCCTCCATTAGTCATTTTAAGAACTACTTGCTTTAACTTCTTTGAATAACTTATTCAAAGTGCTTAAAAGCAACTAGACCAGCTTAAGAGCCCTCCCAAATGGACCCTTAGTGACTATTTGATAACATCTAGAGTGAAGGAATTGAATGGCATTGTTTTGCCTTTAAATGGACTAGCGTAAGGGCGCATGATATGCATCGTTTCAATTTGAGATGGAGTAAACCTTATACCATATGATACTTATATTAACTTTTATGACTTGCACCCAAACTAAAGCAAATATCTACTTTATATAGTACAGCGAAAATAAGCAGATAATAAATATTTAAAAAGTATTATAATGGACCTAACTTCAGCTCATCATGACAAAACTCACAACCTCCTTAATAACTTATTCAAAACAATAAGTTATTAAGCTAAGATATTCCAACTATTATAAAACAATCCCTAGTAGTGCTTCAAGCCATCGATTATGGATTAATTTTGGGCCAATAAGGATAAGTCTATCTAATGTAGGGGTGGCAACGAGATGAGCTTTTCACGAGCTGTTCGAGCTCGGCTCGGTTTGGTTTTAGTCAAGTTTGAGCCCGATTTGGTGGCTCGATTATTAAACAAGTCGAGCTCGAGCCTATTAGAGCTTGGCTCGTGATGCTCGCAAGCCAACTCGAATATAAATATATATATATATAATATGATAAAATTATAAAATATATATAATAAAAATATTACAATTATTAATTATTATAATTCTTAATTTTTTAAATATAAAATAAAAAATTATATATTTTTTATTTTATAAAATATAAACGAGCCGAGCCAAGCCAAGCTGAGCTCGAGCTTATGAACTTTTGACTCGTGCAGAGCTCGAACTCAAGGTTCTAGCTCGAGCTCGAGCTCGAGCTCAAGCCTTCTAGAATAGTCTCGAGCTGAGCTTGAGCCTGGTACTATTCGGCTCGGCTCGACTCGAATCCACCCCTAGTCTAATGAGAAAATGAAAAACCCGATTCCAACCCATGCACATGCCCAATACCCTGTAGATCATATTATAAGTTTTAAAAAGGCCTAGATCTAATATTGTTATTATCAAACTTATCGGGTCTGACCCAGTTAGAATCAATTATTACTTTTAGTGCTTTTCATTTCATGGTTCTCTATTTTAAAAAACATCTAAGGCTGCATTTGAATGCAATGTAAGTACTGGATCAGATGAGTTCTCCACCCTTAGAGTTTTGTACTCATTGATTTAAAAAAGTGGTGATTATCAATGTAAATATTTATATCATTTTTATGGTAGAGAAATTTCCCTTATCAATGTAAAACTCGGCATGCGATGTATTTTACATCAATTTACGGTGGTAATTTACATTTCATCCAAATGGCAACAAAACCAGACCAACGTGTAAAACTCCTCCGATCTGGTATATACACCGCAAATAAACACAACTTGTAGATTAAAACGAACTTGGATAATTGCCCCAAAACACCATGCACATTTCCACAAAGTTTGTAGATTAAAAAGAACTTTGCTCTGGGGTCGATATGTCTAACATGTCATGAACCCAAATCCATATCCTTTTCCCATTCAGATGACAATGTGTTTTGGTTGGATATGTCTAGATCCGATATATTTCATTCCCAAGTTAGAGATTATAACTCTAGAAGTGAACACTGGAGCATGGACTATAAGGTTGTGTTTGGTTTGTGGGAAGATTTTGGTAGTATGGAAAATGATGGAATGTTATGGGATGAGAAAGGGAAAATGGGTGGGAAATTTTCACATTCCATTATTTGGTTTCAAAAGGGAAAATAGTGGTACTAAAATCACCCCCAACAACAACTATTAATTAATTAATTATGTAACTAGTAATATTTTATTGTTATTTATTTAATTATTTAATAGTTTCAATTAGTTATTTAAGAATTAACAATTTAAATTTTATTTCCCTAATATTTTCTATGAATTAATTAATAACTTTATTTTGAACTATTAATTATTTAACATTTGATTATTTATTTAATCATTAATTAGATTAATACTAAAATCATTATTTATTTATTCGTTAATTACTTAGTTCATGAATTTTAACTATTTTTTGTTAATTATTAATTGGTTAATAATAATTTTTTATTATTTAGTGTTTTATTATTAATTAGATATTGATTATTTAAAATTAATTATTATCATCAATTAGCATTTTAATTTTTATTAGTTTATATTTTATCATTATTTTTATTAATACACACAATTTATTTAATATTTTTAATATTTTAAAATTAATTTATTAATAAATTAATAAATTGTTTGTATTGCTTATTTTATTAATTATTTCTTTTGATTTACAATATTAGTTTACTTTAATTAAAATATTAATAATTTATTATGATTTAGTATTTTATTATTAATTATTAATTTTATATTAACATTAATTATTAAATTATTTTATTAATATGTTATTTTTTTGGTGAAATTATTAATATGTTATAAAATAATTAATATATTATCTAAGTCATGGGTCTAATATTAACTCTTAGGCCTTGTTCGTTAACAAATAGGCCATTTACATGGGTAAGTGCACTTATCCATGTTATTTTTTGTTAAACTTACCTAGATAAACGAGGATTCTCAACTTTCCCATGTTCTTTTGGCTTACCCACTTTTCTAGGTACATAGTTAATTTTTTATGTTTTGTCATTTTTACCCTTGGACCCAAGTTCATGTTTTTTGGATTATATTGTTTTAATGGGTATTTTTTACATATTATATTTTGAGCATTTTACTCTCTACTTGAGAAGGTTAATTTTCTTGAGTGGGAGAAGGGTAACACTTCCCCGGGTAAGTGATACATGGGGAAATATACTTACCATGGATCCCACCTAAATCCTGAAAAAAGAACACAAAAGAGTCGATCAATGGGAATCACAATCCCATTAACCAACTTTCCCCCTACTAAAATCAACAAAACGAATAAGGCTTTATTAAAAATATCATAAGAAAGGTATTATTTTCGCTAAACAAGTTTCTCACTTGATTCCTAATTTTTTTTCCACCAAAATGATAGAATTTTGCACCCCAAGAATAATACAAATACAAATATGTAGAGCACAAAACCTTTTATTTGGTATTATTTTATAGGGAAAATTATAGATTAGTACCCCGTACTTTGGGCCTAGTGCCACTTTGGTCCCTGAACTTTAAAATGCGATAATTCAGTACTTGAACGTTCAAAATATGACAATCTAGTATCTACTATTAACTAGTTGTTAATTAATCATTAAGTGACATTTGAAAAAGACACAAATGCCTTAAGAGTGTTATCTAATTTTCTTTATCAACCATCCAAAGATTGACAAAAAATTAACAATTTCAGATTATTGCCTCTTCTATTCAAGAAAATTGAGGCCAACAGAATGCTCAATCAAACGTGACCCCAACTTTCTTGAATGAAAAAGGCAAGAATTTGATATTATTAATTTTTTTATCAACATTTAGATGATTGATAAAGAAAATTAAATAACACTTTAAGAACATTTATATCTTTTTCAAATACCACTTAACAACTGATTAACATATCCTTAACGGCAGTTAGTAGATTAAGTTTTAAAAGTTTTAATACTGAATTATCGCATTTTTTGGGAGTAAAGTGGCACTGGGCCCAAAAATTACAGGGTTCTAATCGAAAATTTTCCATACTACAAGCGTGTTCGATATTTTCCCCTCCATCCCACAAACCAACGGAGCCTAAACTTTCTTGAAGAGCAAGGCTTCTCGCGAAGTGGATAAGAGAGAGAGATGGAGAAATATTTTGGGAATCCATACCGTGGTGACCCGGGTGTTCCGCACACTGATCCAGAACGATTCGTGAACATTTGGATTGGTTCCTTTGCGTTCTCTGCAATTGCCTGGATCCATCCATACATGTGGCAACTCTCAAATCAATCCAAGTAAACTCTGTTTTTTGCTTTCGTTAAAATTTGTCTAGGCTTATCCATTTGTGTTCATCTGAATCTTTATTAGGGTTTATCTGTTCGGTCATGATTTTTTCTAGGGTTTCATGTTACTGTAATCATGTCTCATTTTGTTATTTCTTCTATTCCAGTGACAAGAGGTTTCTATAATGGTATAACCATCATTTATGGGGAAAGACAGAAATTTACGGTCGTTCACGGTTATAGTGCCTGCTGGCCAAACTATGGCTGTTTGTATAATTAGTTAATTAGATAACGAATGATGTTAAGTTTAAACTGTGGTTTGGAAATAGTGTAGCAGTTGTAATTCACAGACATTAGGCTGTTCAAGTTTTGCCGTACGAGCATCTACGCATACAGTACCGAAAAAGGGGCATATGCACATACAGACACACTTACTCCCCATGCATAGTTGGCATTTCCCGCCAAGCAGTTGAAACTGCCTTGTTTCTTCCATTAGAAATTCATAAGCCATGGCATAAGTTGTTATTGCGATTTTCTGGTTTTCCCGATCTGCACTTCGGAATTCAGTTCACATTTATTAAAAAGCGTCTGCATATGAACCAATACTTCTTCTTCATTGAAATCCTCTTATAACTCCTTAGCTGGCCCCTCGGCTGCTGAATCCATTCTATGGGAGTTGCTTTGGGATGCTTATGTCCCATCGGAGGTTTCACTCTTCACGTGGACTGTCTGGCTTAGTTGATTAAGATGAGAGAATCGTATGATCTCACTTTGTCTCCCTTTCTGCTTTAACTAGGCTCTTCCTAGAGACTTATCCATGCTGATATGTCGGCCTTCTTGTGGCTTTAGTTACTGTAACATTGTCTCATGGGAACCTGCTGCCTTTTGTTCCTTGTTGTGGTCTGTGGGAAGAATGGAACAATTGCATCTTTGAGAATAGCTCGAATTCAGAAGTGCTCATTGGAAAAATTAAGCTGTTCTTTTTTCCCAATATAAAAGGGGTGGGATATTTTTTGACTGAAAATCTTAGCTATATTTTTTTACCCCTTTTAGGGTGGAAGCTTTGTTTTGTCGGCCCTTTACACCGAAAGAAATTAGGAGCAAAATGCAATATTTTTGCCACAAAGGGGTTAAAAAGTTGAAATATTTCGGTGTTAAAAAATCTTGTGTCCCTTGTGTTAGAAGTAACAGAGCCTTGACACTTGTCAGAAAGAAAGGGAAAGCTCATGCTTGCAATCTTCATTTCATTTTGTTTCATATTTGGTCCAATACATTCATGAAATGAGAAACATAAAAATGTTGAGACAAATGAATGACAATACAAAGAAAAATTGATTGAGGTAGATTGTCCATGTGGAAGGAAGCAATATATGCATAATCGAGATTTAATGGTTTGGTGCAAGTTGGAAGATTTAAACAAACAAAGGGAAGGCCAAAATAAACTTTAATTCAGGAAGTGTGAAAATATTCACTAGTTCATTATTTAAGGCATGGTCCTAACAAGATGGATGAATAAGGTTCATGTATCTGACCCTCCCCAAGTGTGGGTAAGACATGTGATGATGGTCATTTAATCAATAGCCACCATATGATAACAAGCTAATTATATAGACCATAGATGTAAAGTGTTTTTTTTTCAAGTGGCAATTGATATTTGGTAAAGCCATCAAAAGGGGGCAATCCCTGATCACTGTTGCTGAGGCTCTTGTGTCAAGGGGTGCAATTAAAGAGGCAGCTGATTGAGGAATAAATCAGCTATCTGCAGAATGGGATTCATGGCTTGATTGGGGTCTCGATGGGCACTTTTACAGGAGATTGCAACACTTTTTGATGCATCTTACTGCTCACTGTTGCTGAGGCTCTTGTGTCAAAGGGTGCAATTAAAGAGGCAGCTGATTGAGGAATAAATCAGCTATCTGCAGAATGGGATTCATGCCTTAATTGGGGTCTTGATGGACACTTTTACAGGAGTTTGCAACATTGTTTGATGCATCTTACTTTCCCCCCTGAACCATGAGGGTGGGATTATGCTCAGACGTCTGAGAGAAGCAGTTCTATGGTTGATTTGGGAATAAGGAACTGCCATTACCTTCACTGACAGAGAGGAGTGGGATTATGTTCAGATGTCTGAGAGAAGCAGTTCGTTGATTTGGGAATAAGGAACTGCCATAACCTTCACTGACAGAGAGGAAAGTCTTGAAGAGGGGATTTGATAGAACTGATTACTATTAGAGTGGCCCATTGTGTGTGCATCAGGGTTCATTTTGTTTCCATTTATCCCTCTAGAGTGATCCCTCATCAGACTTGGGCTCCACCTACCCGATGCTCCATGAAAATGAACTTTGACAGGGTTCATTTTGATAGAACTGATTACTATTAGAGTGGTCCATTGGGTGTGCATCAGGGTTCATTTTGTTTCCATTTATCCCTCTAGAGTGATCCCTCATCAGACTTGGGCTCCACCTACCYGATGCTCCATGAAAATGAACTTTGACAGGGTTCATTTTGATAGAACTGATTACTATTAGAGTGGTCCATTGGGTGTGCATCAGGGTTCATTTTGTTTCCATTTATCCCTCTAGAGTGATCCCTCATCAGACTTGGGCTCCACCTACCYGATGCTCCATGAAAATGAACTTTGACAGGGTTCATTTTGATAGAACTGATTACTATTAGAGTGGTCCAGGTGTGCATCAGGGTTCATTTTGTTTCCATTTATCTCTCTGGAGTGATCCATAACCAGACTTGGGCTCCATGGCTCCACCTACTCGAGGCTCCATGAAAATGAACTTTGACAGGTAGTCATTGGGAAACCTAGTACCATCAGTCATCATAGGTATCTTCACTCTTCAACAGTTATGAGGGGAGATACCTGAGGTCTGTTATGGATTGATGGGATTGGCTGATTCCATTTGGGCAGAGATACCATCTTTATTTGGTTTGTTTTGTCCATAAGGATCTGAGCTTGCTGGATAAAATAAATATAGGAAATTTGGTTAGATAATTTTTGGATGTTTATATCTCTGAGTTAGAGAAACAATTCATGAATTTAATTTCTTTTTATACTGATAAAATGACCATTACCCAATGTTGGTCCCAGCTATCTGGGATCTTAGGAGGATGTAAACAAGTCTAGGCTATTTGCTCACAAAAGAAAACAATAAATGCAAATAGACTAGACTTGTTTACACCCTCTTATTGTTTTTTTGTCAGGTTAAAGCAGCTTTTGCTTTTAATGACAAATTCCTTGTCAAATTATAGTTAATATGAACACTCAAGGAACTGTTCGTAACTTATGATAATGGTTTATTTCTGTTTGCTGCCACCTATGATGAATTCCTTCGTATATTTAGTGGCCTAAATTTCATTTTTATGCATTTCTATAAATGTTTTGAAACATGAGTTATAGCTATATTCAAACACTTCTAATTTTAGTGAATGGCACAACCAGGTTAAAAGATAGGGGTGCAAGTATACAACCAACCAAGATTTTATTAGAAGTATAAAAGTAGTCTACTTTGATCATCTTTTCTTTTCACCTTAAAGAAATACTTCCATATGCAGCTGGCATGATCGGGCAATGCTATTCGAGCAATACCATTGGAAGAAAGCACTGCAGAAGAGGCAACCATACAAGTTCAAGGTGAGCAATTTTTTTTTTGCAGGAAGGTTCTTTTCATTAATTTTAATATCCTTTTCTTGCTTCTTTTTTCCTTGTGTGCGTGTCAAGGGTGAGGACACCCCTTTGATTCTTCTTTCTTTATGAGATCAAGGTTGTACATTCATTGATTGTTAATGGCCTTGCCGTCTAGGTGGGCCAAGTCCCTGTATTGTTGTCAGTTTTTAAATTTCTTTATGGGCAGATAACATGCCCATAGAACTGTGAAAAAGCAATTCAGAAGGATAGTGCCAGGAAGCTGTATTGATGCCATTAAGCTTCGAGGCTGCTAATAGCTGTTTGTCTACCTTATACTTGTTTGTGCTGTTCTTTTGCAACTCCTTAAGATAGGCTCTTTTTGACTTTTTGTGGTCTCTAGTATCACAGTGCCAGCTCTACAAACAAGTGTGAATTACTGCCCCGGTTTTGGAGTTGGTGGCTCATAGCAAGGTTCAAAATTTTGCAACATATTGGACCGTATCGGCTGATCATTTCTATGCGTTCCATGTATCGGACTGTTTTGGGCCCTGTATCAGACTGTTTTGGGTCTGTATCGGCCGATATGGTTCCGAAACAGTCCGATACAGCTTGATACAAGTCCCCTTCTCTCTCATTAATTTCATTAAATTAATGCATAATTTTAAATTTCAATTTCAATTTTAGCGCCTAATTGGAATTCTATTCTCATTAATTTCGTTAATTAATAACCCTCTTTCTCATTAAATTCGTTTTGTTAGTATAAAACTACAAACTTAGCAATAGCAAGATTCAAACCCTAGACATTATAGGCTTTAACAACTAGAGGTTCACCACTAAGCCACGCCCATTTGCTTGCTATAGGTTTATGAATTTTTATTTTTAAGTAAATTTTCTCTTTTTCTTAGTGTATGCTTATCAATAAATGTTAGAATTAATTATTAAAATTTATGTATTAATAAATATTAAGATAAATTATATTGATTATTTTAAAACTAATGTATATCAATATACATTTTAGTTTTTTCACGTTTTAGTTATCCATCATTGTTCAATAGTTACCAAGTGTGTCTCCATATCTCGAATTTTATATAGACGATTAAATTATAGTTTTTTTTTACTTTTAAATAACTTATTTACAATCATATAAAGCTTGTAACTATCATTATTAATATAATTTTTAGGATTTATTTGAGTTTTTTAGCATATTTATGCGTATCTTGATTTTTCGTTCGTATCCATATGTATCCAAAGCGTATCCCGATACGTCTCTTAAAATTATCTTTTCGATACACCTTACGTTTTCGATACTTTAAACCTTGGCGCATAGATGGTTATTTCTATTCCCTTTGATCTGTTGACTGGGTATTTATTTGTTCTTTTCTGTTGCAGTGGAACCAGTACATGGACAAGGATCATCGAGATTCATACTATTTCAATTGGCCAGTCTACTTTCCATAGAACATGTCCAGTGCGTGCCTAGGTTTAGTAGCGTTATTGGTGCAGATTCTGTATCACCACCATCATCATCAAACGATGTGTTCTTTTCCCCGTTCTACCATATGATCAGAAAACTGAGACACCCTAAAAAGGGATTGTTTTATCTTCTCTCTGTGGTTTCAAACCTTTAAATTTGCGGGTTTTCTGTTCATGTTGTTCTTTTCTTGTAATGCCTTTGGTTGAAATCATTTTTGCTGCCTTCAATTAACTGCTCTTTAGAGTGGGCATGGAAAATCCTGTGGAAGTTCACGTAATTGCCTTCTGTGCACTGAAACAGGTGCATCTTTAGGAGTTCACATCTATGGTTTCAGAATCGATGATGTCATCATTGGGAGATGTTTTCAGTACACAGCGGGAATGTGCTGTGGGATGTTGTGGGCGCAGATCTGAACTCCATCTTTAGAAGATTGTGGTACAAATGATGACTTAACGATTCGTCAAGAAACCCACCAACACAGAAACAGTAGTAAACACACGTCAATTTCTCTATTAACATCACAGGCTCTGCTTCCATCTCCCCATTTGAAAGCCCAAGTGTCGAACTATATCATGAAAACAGCCTTTGGCCGTATGATTATCATTTGCCATGAAGGCTATATATCAACTATCAAGTATCACCAGCAATCAGCGTAGCTTCATGAAAATGGCTGTGAAGTTCCCTCAATTACATTGCATCATCAGGTGGATACCAGGCATCTAATGAAGTTAAATGGTTGGGTCTCCGAGTGGAGTTGCAAACCCGGTTGAAAGAACCCCAGAGATTCCAACAAATTACCACGTGGCTATGTGGTTGGTAATTTAGTCACTATTAAAAGTTGTTACTGGGAGATCTTTGTTTCATGGATGAATATCTTGGATCCACAAAGGGTCCGCGAACTGCATCCCTTGTATGGACCGACTGAACTGCCTGGTTATGCATTTCCACTTTCCCTCAAAATTCGTAATTGTATAGGTTTGGAAGTGCGCTGCACAACCTAGTTAACAGCTATTTATGGGTTTGCACTTCAGGCCTATGGGGCCGAAAAAAATATCTGAAGATGCCGTCGGAAACAAATCCAAAGTCCAAAACACGCTAGTTTTATAACCCTATTTTTATTTGGTTATATATATATATATATTTGAGAATGATTTGGGCGCAAACCCCCTACTTATTATTAGTCCTGAGATAAATTCCTCAGTTATCATGAATTAAGCATACGTATAAATTTCTCCTTTGGTTAATGGTAGCTTTAATGGATTCTATACAGTTTGGAATTGATGATCGGAAAAAAAAAGTGCAAGTCTGCCAGAGATGTCTTCTTTCAGAATTACCATACCAGCTTCTTTACAGAGATCTTCTTAGGCTTAGACAGGAATCGGAATGAGAATTGAAATCAGTTGAAATGGAATTTCATTTTCAAAGGAGGGGAGGGAATGGTCATTCCACCATAAATGAGAATGGAATTCCACTCAACCAAAAAGTTGAAATTGAAAATTTAGAATGGCCCATTCTGATTCCAATTCCAGACCCCTATTCCCACAAATCAAACAGCCCCTCAATATCTTCTGCTACTTGTCTGAGATCAACATCATCTCCTATCCTACGGTCCTACCTTCATATTATGCATATGCAGAATCTCAAACACTTAGTTTCCTCTATACCTTGGATGTACAAACTAACCTATCTAGGCAGATCTACACACTATCTAATCATGATTGGGAGCTTTTAAAGGAGAGATTTCTTATATGTTTGGTTCTGTTGGAATTTCTTAGGGGGGCGTTTATCTAATAAACTCCACTTTAAAGTTTAAACGTTTTCTCTTTTCATTATTTGGTTGGGCTAATTTGCGGGCGTTTCAAGAAATGGTGTTTAAAGGCACTTGCCAACTCAGCGATGAGAAACGTTTCCTACCCTGTGCTGTTTGGAAGGGCGTTTCAAGAAGTGGGCCATATGGGTGATTCGGTGTGGCACCTCCTTGATTTTTGAGTCCCATATTTTGAAATCTAATGGTCCAAACTACTCTTTTTGCATACTTTGAAAACCAACGGTTGATTTTGGATGGAAATCACATCCAACAGCCAAAATGACAGGTATAGGGGATCAGTATGGGTCGATGGCCGAAAATACCCTTTGCGCATCCAATGTATATATGGTATATCCTAATAACATAATTTTGAGTCATTTTACTTGTTACTACACATCTATCTCTATCTAATGCATTTTACTTGTTACTACCCTTTGTGCATTCAATGCCATATGAGTTCAACAAATACCAAGCTTCCAAAATTTGTCTTTCACACATTAGAATTGGATAGAGTTCCACAAATTGGCATACATTTGACTCGCACAAGATATGGAAATTTCTTCCATCAGGCTTTGCCTACATGTACTTGTTAATCATTTGGTTTGGTACAGATTCACCAAACTAGCTTCACATAGATCAACTTAAATTGATTCTCACCATTTCTTCAACTCCCCTTCTTGGTCTCTTCTGCCATGTATATGCTTGGAATGATGAGTTTTTCTTTTTGACCTTGCTATAAAACTATCTTCAGTGTTAACACCCCTCCTCGACTTTCATATAAGTCATATAATACATAATGTTGTTAATCAGATCTAAACGGATCAAGTTTTGTGATCCAATCTGATTCATTTATAATTAAAGGATATCTGAATCGAACATTAATCCAATCAGAATTTGAATTGGATCAAATCGAACTCATTTGCAGTCCTACCCATGATGGGGATTCATTTAAAATTTTCTGGTATCATGTCTTTCCAGCATCATATATAGTCGAATTGAAACACTAAGGCCCCATTCGCTTTTCGATAAGTTATTTACCTGGGTAAATGTAATTACCTGGGTAAGTTTTTCCTGGAAAACACTTACCTAGGTAAATGCATTTAGCCATTTTAGCCATAGAAATAAGATGATGACCATTTTAGCCATAGAAATCCATTATTAAAAGGGGCATTTTTGTCTCATTCAAGTGTTGGTAACTTTCCCCGTGTGGAAAAATTATTTACCCACTTAGGAGGGGTATCACTTTCCCAAAGTGATACCCAAGAAAATAAACTTTTCCTGATCCCCACATAAAACTGAAAAAAGAACATGGGATTCTTGGTCAATGGGAACCAAAATCCCATTGACCAACTTCCCCCTCTCTAAATCCAAAAAACGAAACACCCCCTAATTGGAGTTTTAAGACCAAGAACATAAGAAGGAACCCTATTAACAAGAAACACAGCAGTTTTGATAGCATCACCCCAAAAAATGAATGGGGAAATTGCTACTAAATCCTAGAAACTTCAAGAATTTGTCCATTATTGCATTTTGAAATTCCATATACCCATCAGATATGATGTAAGGTATGCTTCTCAAAATACTCTTTCGTATTGTCATATCTAAAAAGCTTAACTCTCACACCATTTGGTGAAACTGTCAAACTATTAAAAATGCAGAATCAAGAATACACTCCATAACCTCACTAAGCTGCATAACCTTTTCTGAGACTACTTATTGAAGGCAAATTTGTATTTACTTTAGGAACATGTAATACAAACGAAAGACTGAAGTCATTGGTCACCTTAATGCTACCCTTCCTTGTAATTGGAGCAAGAGACTTATCAATTATACAAACTTGATATGGTCTGAAGCCCAATGTTCAATAATCCAAACAATTACTAAAGCAATAACAAGATTGTCATGAGTTTTAGTACTTCAGTTAGAAAAAGCAGTCAATGGAATAGATGTAAGATGCAGAAATGGAGCCTTAGGAATTAGCAGTTCTAAAAAGACATATAAATGCTACACAGCTACATTTGCATTAACTTGCTTTCCATCATTCCTTTTAAATCTGGAAGGAAACGAACAAGGATTCGGCTCCCAACATGTCTCCCCGGTATGCTTCATCTTCAAACAATAATAAATATGCCCCCAATCGACATGGAATCATTAGTTAATCATTTTGAAGCACTTTTCTACTTGAATATTTTATCTTTTCATCATATTACTAGAATTAAAACAAACATCCAAACGCAGACGATAGGGGTGTTGGGAGGAAACATGGATTGAAATACCAAACATTAGTAGATAAATAATCTGTTGAAACATAAAGGCACACAGCACGGATTGAAATAATTTCTCTCTCTCATTGTAGTTGCTGCTACTGCTTGTGTTCCCATCTCTGACACTTAGGATGAGGTTGAAAACCAATGATAAGACCAATATTGAAAGAGGAGAAGATGTATAATTAGTTGTTAGACTACTTGGGCTGTTCATCAACCTGTCTAATCAGTCTTACTGGGTTTAAGAAAAACTTAAATCCATGGTTTTGGTCTGAACCATCTAACTGTCCAGTCCACTCCGAGTTTGATCATATCATTCCAATAAGAACAGATGTAGTCACCTATGCATGTCAGTCATAGTAAAATTAACACAGATAAAATTATGGATTTCAAGCAAATACATCAATCTATTATAGCAGAAAACAAATTCACACAATTCATTGTTTGACCTCAATAGAGAAGCAAAACACAAATTAGAGTAGACCACAAAAATATTTCGTTCTCTCAGTGATACAATTACAAGGAAATTAGATTTTCTTTAGAACTCTGTTCTTTCTTGGTGCGAGTTCAATATTCAATTTTGTTACAACAAAAGCTTTTAAAGATATAACCAACGTATCTCAGCTCTTTATAACTAGAGTAAATTCAACCTCTTCACCCCTGCCACAAACAAATACATAAAACAAAGAAAAACTGAATATTTTGTAAAGACAATGAGAAGTCTAATTTAGGAAACTACAAAACAACTGATTCTCACACAAAATACAAATACTTCCAATTCCAAAATGAGCTGGACAAGCTTCAGGGCTAACCCAGGCCCAACAATAAAACTTGGACCCCCGGTCCAAGGTCTGATCCAACCTAAGGAATAGCCTGAGCAAGGTAGTACAAATTGAATCCAAGCTAAACTAAGTACAACAAAGGCCAGGTTTGAGTCTGGGTGGATTTATAGCTGGGTTGGTTGAGTTTGAGTGTTTTTATTTCTAATGTCTTTGCAGTTTTTTATTCAATTTGACTATATACTTAATTTCTTATATGGTCAAAACATCATAACAAGCAAGCCAACTTTGACATAATAAGATGCTGACTGTTCTTAGTCACTCTAACCCTTGAAACTGCATGGCTTTAATAAATATATAAGAAATTGATGCATTGGGTAACAGTTGTCATTTGAATCTTAGGCTCC